GATATTTGCTGACTGCTGTTTAAGGATTTTACTTGCTGTTTTGAGGTTCAGACGCTGTAAATGTTATGAGCTTTTACATGATCCCTGTCCATTGTTAAATCACACATTCCCTTTTTTTGGAAAGCTCTCTGACTTCATTATTCATGCCATCAGCATCTATTTGCCATCATTGGGGATAGAAGCTTGTACTGCATGGGTAGGCACAAAACCACATTCGTCAGGAATTATATACATAAGTATGTATTATACACAACAGTCTGGGTCGCCCTGGTCACCTCACTTGCTCATCATGTGGAATTGTGCAGTAAAGTGCACAGCCAGCTGGCCTGTACCTGTACAGGCATCTATTGTCTCTATTCTTTACATCTGGAGGCTGCTACCAAAATCATCACAGCAACATCAGTACCTTGTCTTGGCATGCAATTATACATACATGTTCTTCATCAACCTTCACCTGTGACCTGTTCCACACTACTACTGCACTGCTTCCTTTTTTCCTAGTGAACACCTACTACACACCACTGAACCACATATATGGCCCTAGACTGCAGCTGCCCACTTTCTCTGTATCCCTGCTCATCATGGAACCTGTCTAAGCAACCAACGCCAGCTTGCCCTTGTACTGGACCATGGAGTCATTCCATAGAACATTTGTGCAGCCATGGGAGAAAGCCCACTCCTTGACCTGCTGCTTGTTGAATCTGCCAAGTAGGCTCTGCACTGGAAGCTCTACGACCGTGTGCTTCTTTAGCTCCTTGCCAACCTTAATGGTACCACTGGGCAATACCATGGAGGTCTTCTTGCTGTTGTTCGCCCTGTGCATAATGAAGACGGACACCTTGTCGGTGTCGTGCACGATGTTTTCCTGCATGGTGAATATGGAGGGACCGACCAGTGCTTATTCAATGTTGTGGACATGTATGAAAAGAAACATAATTATTATATTATTAGCAGTAGCATAAAATCTATAATCCAGCAGGCAAAGACATTAATTTCAAGCAGTTCATGGTTGCACTGCATTGTAGGTGCGATGTATGCCATTAATTGTATGTTGTGAGGCGGCTGCAGATGACAACATGGCCATTCTTGTGAAGAAACATCAAGCCT